TATATCCTCAATAAGTGGTAGATATATTTTTATTCCTTAAAAATGGGGCTTCCCACTGAGGGGTGGTGGTGCACATCTTTAATCCCAGCACTTGGGAGGCAGAAGCAGGCTGATCTTGTGAGTTTGAGGCCAACCTGGTCTACTAAGGGAGTTCTGGGACAGCCTCCAAAGCTACAGAGAAACCCTGTTTGAAAAACAAACAACAACAAAAAAAACCAACAGTGGGACTTCCTATTTTAAGTAGTTTTAAGGCATAAGTTCTGACACAGAAAAAGGCTCAGAAATGTGTCTTAAGTGAATCAGCATATGAGTATATTCAATTAAATGTGCTAGTAGGTTTGCAGAAACTGGACTCTTTAAATGGTATGTATTTGTAGGAAGAGTGGAGAGAATACATTGAAAAAGAAATGCTTCCATGAGGAATTTCTGGGGACCTTGGTGACTTTGTTTCCTTATTAAGTGTTATTCTGGGCCGGGCGGTGGTGGTGGTGCATGCCTTTAATCCCAGCACTCGGGAGGCAGAGACAGGCAAATCTCTTGTGAGTTCGAGACCAGTCTGGTCTACAAGAGCTAGTTCCAAGACAGTCTCCAAAGCCACAGAGAAACCCTGTCTAAAAAAAACAAAAAAAAAAGTTCTGATGCTATCAAGAAGAGTAATTGATGGATAGGCTTTAGTTCTGATGCTATCAAGAAGAGTAACTGATGGCCAGGCATTGGTGGCGCACGCCTTTAATCCCAGCACTTGGGAGGCAGAGGCAGGCGGATCTCTGTGAGTTCGAGGCCTTCCTGGTCTACAAAGTGAGTTCCAGGACAGCCTCCAAAACAATACAGAGAAACCCTGTCTCGAAAAACCAAAAAAAAAAAAAAAAAAAAAAAAAAAAGAAGAGTAACTGATGGATAGGCTTTAGTTCTGATGCTATCAAGAAGAGTAACTGATGGATAGGTGTTAGGCGTGGAGGACATTGGAGCTAGTGGCAGGGGAGCAAAAGCAGCACAAGGAGGAGTGAACGGGGCAAACTAAACTCAAGGCTTCACTTCTAATAATTTGGAATAAGGGGACCAGACCCTCACTCAGCCCCCTGCTTTAGTAGCCATGACAGGCTACAGAAAAAACATGTAGGCCTCTGATACTAGGTCTAAAACTGAACACAAAGAAACTCCAGATCACCCCCCCCACCCCCAGCCTCCTAGATGCTTGATTCCTGGGAACTGTTTGGCCATAAAAGAAACTCCCCTGTAGTCTCCAGGAAATTCAATTCTGAAAAATATTAGTACAATAAACCACCTGCAAGCCATAGAAACCACAGAATGTTTTCTCCCAGTACCAACCTATGAGAAAAATGGATACACAGGTATTACAAGCCAAAAATATATCTTTGAAAAAAAATCTCTCTTGGCCGGGCGTTGGTGGCGCATGCCTTTAATCCCAGCACTCGGGAGGCAGAGGCAGGCGGATCTCTGTGAGTTCGAGGCCAGCCTGGTCTACAGAGCGAGTTCCAGGACAACCTCCAAAACAATACAGAGAAACCCTGTCTCAAAAAAAAAAAAAAAAAAAAGAGAGAGATTTTTTTTTTTTTTTGGTTTTTCGAGACAGGGTTTCTCTGTATTGTTTTGGAGGCTGTCCTGGAACTTGCTCTGGTCTAGGCTGGCCTCGAGCTCACAGAGATCTGCCTGCCTCTGCCTCCCGAGTGCTGGGATTAAAAGCTGAAAAATCTCTTGATTGTTTCCCAAATGTCATCCAGTCAGAAACCAACCCATACCTACTAATGTAATCCTGTAACTTTTGTCTATAAAGCAGTAGACAGGGAACTTCACTCCCTCTAAAGGCTGCTATGTCAGCTTGCTAGAGAGGGTCCCTGTCATGGTTAGATGAACAATCATTAAACTTTGCTTTTGCAGTTTTGTGGGTCCTCCTGGTGGTCTCTAGGGACTTTGCAACTTGGGCACAACAGGAGTACCCTCTACCTAGTCACAGAGAGACAGGTTCTAAGTTATCTACTGTTCCCAGTGTTAGTACTGCTTTTTCCTGATCGCTTTCATTTTTAATTTTAACTGTCATCTTTATCTATTACTGTTTTTATTTCTTTTCAAAGCTGATTTTTTTTCTTATCCCTTTGCATCCAATCCTCCCTGAATTGCTGTTCCTAACTGGGACCAAGTTCTGGGATCCAGAAATCCCTCTTCTGTGAAAGTAGTCTGAAGTTTACTAAGGAACTCCAGGAATTTCATCAACTGATGGTGTCCCTCTTCGGTTCCTAACTCCAGCAACTTTGTTGCTCCTTCAACCCAGCATCCATCCATCCATCCCTTCCTCCTTCCCTCTCTCTCTCTCCCTCCTTCCCTCCCTCCCTCCATCCAATGGAGGTTCCTGCTTTTTATACTTGTGTGCACATTGTTCCCAGTAATTCCTTGACTTTAACTTGTTTTTTCTTTTTTCTTTTTCTTAAATTCCCATATTTTAGGTCCCTGTTCCTGGTTCCACCTGTAAGTGCCTGTGCTTACTTATGGGACCAATGTCATCTGTGTGGCTGCAAGGAATTAAATCAGGCCACTTGGAGGGTCCATAGCACAACTGAGGCTGTAACAATTTTATTGAGAACAATCGGACTTTTTGTTTGTTTGTTTGTTTGTTTTGGTTTTTCGAGACAGGGTTTCTCTGTGGCTTTGGAGGCTGTCCTGGAACTCGCTTGGTAGTCCAGGCTGGTCTCGAACTCACAGAGATTCGCCTGCCTCTGCCTCCCGAGTGCTGGGATTAAAGGCGTACGCCACCAACGCCCGGCCTACAATCGGACTTTTTATACCTTGATCAGAAACAGAATATAGTGGCAATTGCCAGGATCAATACAGTTGCCAGGATACAGTGAAGTTTGCAAGCTATTCAGGGTACATGAGATTAACATCTGAAGCTAGTTTGTCCCGCAAGCCTTCATGCTGCCTTGACTACTGAAAGAACATACAGAGAAGCACAACTGCCTCAACGCTTCACTGCATCTGTCTCTCAGGAACTGGAAGGCACACTATGCCCAGGAGTCATGGACTCTCAAAGCAGCTAGGCCAGGCCAACTCCATGGTTCCCTGTGGTGTAGAGTCTCAATATGTAGCTGTCCTAGAATTCACTATATAAACCATGCTGGCCTCTCTCCCATATTCTTTCACACTACTGTTCTTTTAGTGATTGCCATAGACATGGACACATTATTTTTAATGATTTATATATTTAATTATGTATACAGTAGATATTATGTGTACATGCATGCCAGAAGAGGGCGCCAGGTCTCATTATAATTGGTTGTGAGCCACCATGTGGTTGATGGGAATTGAACTCAGGGCCTCTGGAAGAGCAGCCAGTGCTCCTAACCTCTGCGTCATCTCTCCAGTCCAGACACATTAATTGTTAATTTAGCAAACTGTCATGCTATTAAAATACCTTTATAGGAAGAATGGAATTTGCTAAGATGCAAGTGCAAAGTAAGAATATTCCAGATGTGATGAATGGGGAAACACAGGTAGGGTCAGGAAAGCACTCACCATATCCAGGATCGAAATGAGACTTCATTTTAGAAGCAACAGAAAAGCCACAGTTCTTTAGAACTATGAAGATTCTATTACTGTTTGTCTATGTATTGGAATTAGATGGGTAACCCTAGGGTTGAAGTCTATCTTTCCCAAGACAGGGTTTCTTTGTGTAGCCCTGCCTTTCCTGGAACTCACTCTGTACACCAAATCAGTCTTGAACTCAGAGATCTGCCTGCTTCTGCCCCCAAGTGCTGGGATTAAAGGTGTGCTCCACCATGCCTGGATTTTTTTAATGGCTTATTTATTTTCATGTGCATTGGTATTTTGCATACATGCATGTCTGTGTGAGGGTGTCCAGTCCCCTAGAGGTAGAATTATAGACAGTTGTGAGTTGCCATGTTGGTACTGGGAATTGAACCTAGGTCCTCTGGAAGAACAGGCAGTACACTTAACTGCTGAGCCATCTCTCCAGCTCCACCTGGCTTTTTTTTTTAAGGGAAGGGGGACTGAGATTAATGGCATACACCACCATGCCTTTCAAGTTTACTTTTGTTTTTCGAGATTTTATTTATTTTTATGTATATGAGTGTTTTGTCTGAATGTTTGTGCACCATGTGCAAGAAGTGCCTGTAGAGGTCAGAAGAGAGCACCAGATCCCTTAGGACAGAAATTACAGATGATTGTGAGCTGCCATGTGGGTCTGCAAATTGATTCTGGGTCATCTGGAAGAGCAGCCAGTGCTCTTTTTATGGAGTCATCTCAGTGATGGGGGATGTCCTTCTGTATATGTTTCTTTTATTGGTTGATGAATAAAACACTATTTGGCCAATAGCCAGTGGAGGTGGGATGATATACATATATGGGACTAGAAGACAAGTAGAATTCTGGGAAAGGTAAGCAGGGAGAGACCAGAAAAGATGCCATGTAGTCACCAAAGGAGTAACAGGTCCAGGCATTCTCCAGTAAGCCGAGACTACGTGGAAATACACAGATTTATAGAAATGGGTTAACAGTTAAGATAGCTGGCCAATAAGAAGCCCTAACCAAGCCGGGCAGTGGTGGTTCGTGCCTTTAACCCTAGAACTCGGGAGGCAGAGGCAGGTGGATCTCTGTGAGTTCGAGGCCAGCCTGGTCTACAGAGCGGGTTCTAGGACAGTCTCCAAAGCCACAGAGAAACCCTGTCCAAAAAACGAAGAAGCCCTAGCCATCGATCGATAGATTTATAATTAATATAGCATCTGTGTGTTTATTTGGGGATGAAGTGGCAGTGAGACTTAGAGGGACAAGAAATTCTGTAACAAGTGGGCGTTGGTGGCACACGCCTTTAATCCCATTACTCGGGAGGTAGAGGCAGGCAGATCTCTATGAGTTTGAGACCAGCCTGGTCTACAAGAGCTGGTTCCAGGACAGCCTCCAAAGCCACAGAGAAACCCTGTCTCAAAAACCAAAAAACAAAACAACAAAAAAATTCTGTAACAAAATGGTGCCCAATGTGGGACTCAAACCCACAACCCTGGGATTGAAAGTCCCATGCTCTAACAACTGAGCTAGCTGGGCCCAAAGTTGCATCCTTACCTTTGACCAGCTAGCCCTGGAGTCTCTCAAAGGGGTGTGGTCACTAACACAAATACACTGGCAAGGCTAGATGCCACTACACCTCAGCCCCAGAGTATGGACTTTAAAACCATCCAAGGAGGATATCTTGATCATGACAAAGATATTTTGGAAAAACAAGACTCCTCATCAGTTTAGGATGAACTTGCTTTCCTACAGCTTCCAGTGAGGCAGGACCAGGATTGGCCTGGATTTCTAGCATTGCCCATGTCTCTGCCTGTTGTGCCTCTCAACCTTTCCCAACCGTGTTCCCTTCATCCCAACCTCTAGTGATTGCTCTCCAAAGGACTATCTTGAAATTCTTTTTTTGTTTGTTTGTTTTGAGACAGGGTTTCTCTGTATTGTTTTGGAAGCTGTCCTGGAACTCGCTTTGTAGACCAGGCTGGCCTCAAACTCACAGAGATCCGCCTGCCTCTGCCTCCCAAGTGCTGGGATTAAAGGCGAGCGCTACCAACTCCCGGCTATCTTGAAATTCTTAAAGTGCTTCTAGATCTGTCTTAATACACCCCAGTTCAGTTAAGTCCATCAAATATTTCCTGCACTATTACTCTATTCCTGCCCCTGCACTAGGCTGGAAGATCAAGTAATCGATTAAGTGAGGGTCATCTCCTTAAACTAGCTCCTGAATACTTGAGAGATTGATATAGGAGGGTTACTATGAGTTTGAGGCCAGCCTAGGCTATATAGTAACTTCTAGGTCAGTCTGGGCCACAGATTGAAACTATCAAAAAATAATTAAGAGAGTTCCCAGAAAGGTAGAGGAAATTAGACTGGGCAACAGACAAGGAAGTCATTTGCTACTTTGTGGCTAGAGTCCTAATAAAAGCTTGGTAGACTGTATATAATATTACAATTGTAGGAAGATAGGCAGATGGCCATAGGGTGTAGAGATAAGGAAAAGATGATCAGAGTTTCGTGGAAGAGGGGGATAAAGCTAGGGTCTTAAATCTAATTGCTGAAGTAGAGGGTAACCAGATTATGAAAGCTGCTGAACACTAACTAAGGAATTTGCCCCTGCTCGTAAAAACTATGGAGAGTTACTAAATGATTAGTGGTAAAGAAGGGACATGGTCAGATCTGTGTTTTAAGAGGGAGAAGTTATGGTGCTGCAAACCTTTGAGCCCAGCGCTGCAGAAGTGAAAGTAAGCACATCTCAATGGGTTCCTGCCAGCTTGGGCTACACAGTGAATTCCAGGCCAGCCAGTGCTAAGAAATGATAACCTGCCAATAAATAAAAGGTGGGAAGGAACAATGTGGGATGAAGAGGCAGCTCAGTGATCAAGAACAATTACTCCATTATGATTATTGTTCTTGCAGAGGGCCTGGGCTGTGTTCCCATCACCCATATGATAGCTCACAACTCCAGTTTAAGGGAATCTAACGCCATCTTCTCACGATGTTGGGCTTCTGCACAAACATGGTATAGACAGTAGATACATACACTCAGCCACACATATACATATACACAGAAAAATAATTTTTTGAGACAGGGTTTCTGTGTAGCCCTGGCTGTGCTGGAACTCACTTTGTAGACCAGGCTAGCCTCGAATGAGTTTGAAGCCAACCTGGTTTACAGAGCAAGTTCCAAGATAGACTCAAAAGCTACACAGAGAAATCCTGTCTTGAAAAACTACAACAATAAATAAATAAATAAATAAATAGAAAAGAAAAAAAATGAGTCAATGCAGCTGTAACTTGAGGGTGGTAGGGAAACAGTAAGCGAATGAAGCATTTTTTTTTTTTTGGTTTTGTGAGACAGGGTTTCTCTGTATTCTTTTGGAGGCTGTCAGTCCAGCCCAGCCTCGAACTCACAGAGATCTGCCTGCCTCTGCCTCCCAAGTGCTGGGATTAAAGGTGTGTGCCACCACCGCCCGGCCAATGAAGCAATCTTATAGGAAATCTTTTTTCTTTTTAATTATTTTGTAGATGGGTGTTTTGCCTGCATTTACATATGTGTACCATGTGCATAGTTTGAACCCTAGGAGGCCAGAAGAGGGTCTCAGATTCCCTGGAACCAGAGTTACAGATGGTTATGATTCACCATAAGGATGCTGGGAATCAAACCCAGGTTTTTTGGAAGAGCAAATAGTGCCCTTAACTTCTGAGCCATCTCTTCAGCCCCACAGAGCTGTTCTTGACACATTCTATATTCTTTTTGTCTATCCCCCATTTGTACACTGCCTCCTTGCTACTGGGTGCTGGATATATGAACACTGAGTCTGCTTGTAAGGGTGTGGTATGTGGGTGTGCACAGGGAAATTGAACAGTAACTGTGGCTAAAACTGGACATTGATGATGCTATTTAAGGCACAACCTCTCTAGGGTATTTCCAGATATAAGCAAATCCACAGAAGAACAGGAGATACCAGAAAATATCAACAGTAGCAGCTACTTGGACAGTAGACAAATGTCAAGTTAGGAAACACTGATGCCTGCTGGTTGAGGGGAAACTGGAGGCCTAATTGCTCATTCAATTTCTAATGCTTTTTAAAAATGATACTTATGTGTGTGTGTGTGTGTGTGTGTGTGTGTGTGTGTGTGTGTGTGTGCATGCATGCAAGTGCCCGCCTTGGGTGTGGAGGTCAGAAGACAGTTTATGGGAGTTGGTTATGTCCTTCCACCATAAAGGTTGAAGTTGTCATACTTGACAGCAAGTACCTTGCCACCTTGCCACTTACATTCCTCCTTCTTTCCTTTTAGAGGCAGAGTCAAGGCTGGCTTTAAATTTTTCATGTAACCAAGGAGGTCTTTGAACTCTTGGTCCTCCTGCCTCTACCTCCCTCCTGCTGAAATTACAGGCTTGTGCCACCACACCTGTTTGCCTGACGTCTTTATCCGAATGATGGATTTCACCAAATTCACCTGTCCAGATTATTAAGAGGAGCAAATGGAAGAGTATTTGTAAAGTCTCTGGACCGTAAGAACACACTTGTTTGTTTTTCCGTTCATAAACCTAACGGACTGAAAAGGCTTAGAGGGGGTCATTGACCACTGAGGTCAGAGAAGGCTTAGGATGAGTTTCATCTGTAACTTGTGTGTCTGGTTGTAACAGCCTTCACATATTGGGTACTGTCCACTTACCTGCACTGCTGTATTACTCCAATTCTCACAGCACCCTGTGATGTAGATATCCATCCCTTAAGCCATTTTACACATGAAGGAACAGACTCAGAACTGTGAGATGAATGGTTCACACTGTACAGATCCCAAAAGAATCAAAGGCAAGACCAGAGACCCTCAAGCCAGACATTGGTAATAATTTAGGAACTGAAGGACCCACCCTTAGGGACCAGCATTTAGGGCCACAGGAACAGTCAAGCAATCAAAATAGGGAGCGAGAGCAAGAAGTAGGCACCACTGAAGTTGAGCTGGACAGAAGACACAAAGATGGGAAACACAAATCTAGTTGCTGAGACTAGATAGAATTCATTTTAGGCCTGGCGGCAGTGGTGGTACACTTAATCCCAGAATTCAGGAGCAGGAGGATCTCTATGAGTTTGAGGCCTGGTCTACAGAATGAGTTCCAGGACAGCTAAGACTACATAGAGAAACCCTGTATCAACAACAACAACAAAAAAAAGTGGTCATTTTAGTAAAGTTGTAGCAGTCTGTTTGTTCTGGAAACCTTAAGAGCAGGGTGAAGAATTCAGTCAAGGAAAGTCGCCTTGGGGCTATGAGGGCTCATCTGGTAAGAACACTAGGAGAGCCTGAACCTGAGCTTTATCCCTGGAAGGAAGGAAATCATGGTAGTAAGAGAAGAATCAACTCGCACGCCTTTAATCCCAGCACTCGGGAGGCAGAGGCAGGCAGATCTCTGTGAGTTCGAGGCCAGCCTGGTCTACAGAGTGAGTTCCAGGACAGCCTCCAAAACAATACAGAGAAACCCTGTCTCGAAAAACCAAAAAAAAAAAAAAAAAAAAAAAAAAAAAAAGAGAGAGAGAGAGAGAGAAGAATCAACTGAAAGTTTTGCTCTGACTTCCCTTACAGGCCATGGCATATGTAGGCCACACACATGTACACACACACCACACAAAACACATGATGTACATTATACACACAAAAAATAAAAATGAATTTGTGTAGCTTTAGTGAGCTTGGTGATATCCACACACACTTGCCTCAAGATCAAGACTGTTCTTGGGTACATAGTGAGTTCAAAGACTGCCTGAAACCCTGTTCAAAAAGGAAAAAAAAAAAAGGAAAGAAAAAGGGGACTCCGTGGGTTAAAGACACATGCTAGCAAGCTTAACATCTCACCCAGAGGGGACTCTGTCTTTTTTTTTTTTTGTTGTTGTTGTTTTTGTTTTTGTTTTTTGAATAGGGTATCTCTGTATTGTTTTGGAGGCTGACCTGGAACTCACTCTGTAGACCAGGCTGGCCTTGAAATCACAGAGATCTGGCTGCCTCTGCCTCCTGGGAGTGCTGGAATGAAAGGTGAGCGCCACCAATGCCCGGCTGGGAGACTCTGTCTTAAAAATAAAAATAAACTGGTGTTTGTGGCACACACTTTTAATCCCAGCACTCAGGAGGCCAGCCTGGTCTACACAGTGAGTTCTAGGACAGCCAAGGCTACACAAAGAAACCCTATCTTGAAAAAACAAAACAAAATCCACCTTATCTTTATGAGGATTAAATAAGTTACTGCATTTAAAATAGAAATGTTCCTAGGATATAGAGGATTACAAAACATGTTATTACTGTGAAAATTTAAGTAGGGTTTAAGTACTAATAACTGTCTGGCTCAGAAGTTCCGCATCTGCTGTGGGTGGTCCTGGCAATCCCCAAGATGCCTAGTGGAGAAATAAATATTTGTTTCCTTACCCTCTCCTTCCGTTTTTGGTAGGATAATCTTTTCAGAGGGGTTTCCCTTTATGGATCAGTCGAGGCCAGACCAAAGTGAGAAAAGAACACTGGGAGCTGGTTTCTCTTCAGAACTTCCAACT